ATCCCCTGTTCGCCGGCTATCCAGCTAATTCCGTTGCTCCCAGAATTGCAATCAGTGGGCCCAACATGGCTCCAAGTGGTGCCCCAGACAGCTTCAGCAGCCAAGCTGGGGTAGGCCTCGCGTCTCCAGCCACCTCACTTCTAGCTAACGCTGTACATGCTAACCCTTTACAAGCAAGTGCAACACATACCTCTCCTCTTCACACCTCCCAGCTTGCAGGATTAGCCTCGATGTTAGCAGCAAACCCAACTGTCCCACCTGTGCAGTCCCTCTTGCAGAGTCATCCGCCTCCTGGCAGTTCTTCTCTTGTAACAAAGTTTGATCCAGCCCAGGAAACAGGTCTGCAGACTGGGGACGTACTCCAGCTGCTCTCTGAATCTCAAGCACCCCAGACCAACAAGAGCCTAACTCTCCCAACTCAAGGACCTTCAAGTGGGGATGGTTTGTTTGGGGTGACCCCTCAAGCTCCTGGACCAATGACCACTGCGGATAACCTTCCAAACAATAACAGTCAAACAGAGATGGGGCATGTACCTGCTGGGACAACAGTCAATGTGTCAGCTGGCGGTGTGGCTCTAACTGAATTGCTCGCAGCAGGAGGCAGCATGCAGGCAGCAGATGTGACTGTATCAGGTGTCTCTGCGCCCAGTATGTCTACACAGAGTGTCTCCTCTACAGGTGAAGCAGCCGCTGCACTGCTGCAGCAGGAGTACCTGTCAGAGGAAGGAGGATCCTCCCCAAGGAGGAAGCTGAGGCTGGTACTTCCCGAGAAGGCGTCCAGCCGACCGCCCACCGCACTGGAGAGGAAAATACGCTAGCTGCTCATACCATATTTGATGGATGGAATTTTATTGATCGTAGTGTTTTAATAACGGTCATAAGATGTCTTAAAATGTAATTATTTTTTAAAAATCAGATGCAGAAACTTCTGTAGCTGAGACTGATGCCTTCACACATTCTTAATGTGATGTGACGAACTGCTACAAAATATAATTTCTGGGTGTTTTACACATGATGTAATTTTATTTTTGTAATTAAACCCTGAGTAAAAAATAAATGCTGTTATTTCTGAGTTTCAAAGCTAATTGGTGACCATAATAAGAACAGCTGACAAAAGAAATCTCACCTTGAGGTCCATTAGTAGCTGTGCTAGGGCTTTCAGTAATGCCACATGATCTTTACCAGCAGCTGGTGTTTGCTCAGTAAAGCAAATATATTAATTTTATGACCTTCCAGCTCCAGAACAGCTAGGTTTAAGATGTACACGGAGAGACTGGACTAAAGTGGAATATTATTCTTTGTACATTCATTTCAAATTTTGACTGCTCTTGGACACTAACGGCACAATATAAAGTACAAAGAACAATATATTCAATATAGTGCTGCAACACCTATGAGTACTTATCACCAAAACAGTTCAGTGAGAAAGGCAGCACATCAACCTGAACAGGAAACAAGCTGAAACAGCAGTAACCTCTGTGCTGCTTGTAGCAGGTTGAAGAAGCTCCTATGTGTCACTGCTGTATTGGGTTTCTGTTTTGGCACCAGGGCGACTGTTTGCAGTGTGTTAGGTTTCCCTGGTCACACCGCTGACCTCTAAATGCTGCCTACAGTTCGGTTAACACACAAACCTGGGCGTGTTAACGTGTTTCCTCAACCCTTCTGCTGTGCAGAACCCTGAGTCAGTGTGAGCTGTTACCCTGACCAACCCATTATTATTTTAAGGTGCTGTATGTAGTATTTTAAAGGTCGGTTTATACTTGTCATGGAACACAAAGTATTTTTTCTTATCCAACAGACATGGAGCAACATTATCATTAATCATTTGGAGTAATTTTTCTGTTCACTTGACCTTTTGTTTAACCAGAAACAGTTACCATATTGCTCTCGACAAAGCCACCAGACTCCCTTGACAAAAACTGCAATTTTACCTCTCTGGGGTACCGCTGTCTCGATTGGTATGTGTGTGTTATTGTTTGTCTTTTTTACCCTTTGAAACACCAAAATAACACAAACAAACTGAATCAACAAAGTCTCACAATAACCGACTGAGACAGCGGCAGACCAGCAACTCCTGTGTTCTGCAAGAAAAACCTACTGATTTTATCAAGGGAGTCTGTTGGTTTTGACAAAGGTGACATAGCGACTGTTTCTAGTTAAACAAAAAGCATCTTTTAAAAAAGGGTTTAACTCTGCATAGATCCTTTCCATCATGTTGTCACCTGTAATAACAATCTGAGCCTGTCAGTGGCAAAAACAAGCACCTCAGTGGACGTACTCTGATCATTCACACAATACTGGACCAAGTAACATAGAGACAATTTGTTTATGTAAAAATATTGATCAGCGCAACTTTATAGGACCTCTATTATGCTTTTGTCACTGATTTCCACTGTAATGAGGATTTATTTATTCATCACAGCTATTGCTTTCTCAAATAATAGACCTATAATATTTTTTGAGCAAAACGCACCATATTCCAACTTAATGTTGTCTTAAAACACAACTTTAAGCTGTGTTCAGGTTCACCAACGTACCTTTTAAAGTGAAAAAGGAAGTAGGTGCAGTTTTCTTGTTGCCATTGGAGGGCAGTGTGTTCCTTCGGACACAAAGGCTGGCTGTTCTTCACTGGAAGTGGAAGCTTTGATGGATGAATCGAAAATGTAATTAAAGCAAATACCTAATCTGTCTGATAGAGACTGTGTGTACAGGACAAACACATTCTTTTACTAAAAGACTTATTTATCCAAGAAAGGCTGACAGAACAGAATCAAAACAGTTTTTGACATTTGGTATAATTTTTTTTAAATATCAAAATGTCAAATGAATACAGCTGTCACCTAGGAAAAATAGGAAAATGTCCCATTTTTGTGACGTTTTCTTGAACGGTGCTTCAGGATTAAGGTTCCCAGTACTGACAGTGGTGATAATCAGCACAAGGCTGTTAAGAAAACCCATAGACAAATAAAGACTTAGGCAATATGACTGATTGATAGATACCAGCCTGCAGTGACACCTGGACTACACTACCAATATCCTTTTTTATTGTTGTACTTTTGGCAATAATGTAGCTGTGTCCCCAGGCATCTGTGTGTGAAATGCAAAAGAAAAATGCCTAGTGGGCCCTGGGCTTCGACTCACCCCCGCATAGGCTACATACTTAGTATCCTCTCAACTCTGGCAAAGTCACGCCTCTATATTAGTGCACCAGATTGGCTAAATCAGTTATTAATCATTATGTCTGCTTGTGTCAATCAGACCAGTTACCATCAAGGTTGTTTAAACCATGAACACAACATCAGTGCGTCAGAATGGCTCTTAATTTTCAAGAGCAATCAAGAGGGAGGACTGTTACACAAAAGTAAATCCAAATGCAGCCTCAGTTTGTGCCTCTCGTGTATTATCACTCCATTCCAATGTCTGCGTGTTTGACATGAAACAAAATGTAGAAGCTGTGTTGGTTATATTGCCCATTATTAATCAAACTTTTGGACCACTTGGAAGCAGGCTTCCACAACAAGCTCAACATCAAGTTTGACATGTAACCACCTTGTGACTTTTTTAAACATGTTATCAAACAGTTGTCTATTTCCACATCCAGCTGACATGAAGAACATCAGCATTTGGAGTCATGTTTTCGTCATCTGGTGAACGTACAGTAAGTCCAATATTTACTCTCCTTTTGGCTTTGTTTCGGTCTCCACCAACTGTCCTTTTCTGGCTTTTTAGCTGCTGTGCTCCACAATTTTCACCAGTGGACAGTGGGTTTATCGGAGCTTTTCACAGAAAACAGCTGGATGCTGCGTCTGAGGACGATGAGAGCGGTGAGACTGAACTAAAACAGTAAATGTGTTGACTGTAAAACCAAAACAATGAGCTGAAAGAAGCTAAGGTGCTTTCAAAAAGCTGGAGGGGACTGCAGAGTCTCATGATTATACTCTGTGGATCTGAACAGGCCCTATTGCATTAGACATTTGAGGCATTGTCAATATAAAATGTATTGACAAGTGCAGCTATAATGCTTTCAATTATTTTATATTTTCAGACACAATACCACATTTATATATATATTTGTTTACAAATTACAAGGACATAATTCAGTCAATCACTGCCCTATATTTCTTTTACTGGAGTCACAACTTGGAAAACAGAATATATTTTACTGCACAGCAGAAGGAATCATTGAGGAATCTTGAAATACCTTTGAAGCGGCAAGTGTTTTCAAATCGGATTATCTTTCAGCAAACAAATGCTAACAAATGCTTAATTGCGTGACTTGAATGTAATGCTAATACATGAGGCACAAATTGGGGCTTGACCACATTTAGCCATCTTTATGAGGAGTCGTAATCAAAACAAGACTATGAGTCCGCTGCATCCTCGTGGCTCTGTGAGGCTGCACTGACAATGCTAATGTCTGCACGTTAACATGCTCACAATGACAACACTGATATGTTTCAAAGTTAAAATGTTAACCATGTTCACCATCTTGCTAATATTTGCTATTTAGCATCAAAACGTAAAGTACAGCTGAGTGTTACAGATATCTGGGCAAAAACAGAAGAATTGGACGATTTGGGCAAAAGATGGCGCAGGAGAAAAAGTCAAAAGGATCACCAAAGTTAATACAGTTCATCCTGCAGAGGAGATTAATGTCAGTTTATCTGGTGGACAAACAAACTGACATTTCCATCTCTAGCACAGCCACATGGCTCGTGTGGCTAAAAAAAAGGTGTTTAGAACCTAATACAATTTCTGTTAAAATCATTTTCACAAGATCCAATCGAAGCTAACAAAGGTTAAAAATACATATTTCCTGAGACTTCAAAGATATTTTGTTTTGTGATTACAGCGTAGCTACTTTGCATAAATGCAAAGGCCAGGATGCAAACACAAAGTGTACTGTGTCGCTGTGGTGGTAAAGGTGTACGTTATTATGTACAGTTAATTAAAGCAACTGTCACAAACAGTTCGGAAATAAACAGCATAAAAGAGGCAGGTTTTGGAGTAATGACTGCACATCAATGCAGCGCTGACTTTATTCTCAAACACATTATTAGAATCTAAAAATAAGAAAACCTTCATGGTTGTTGTTGCCCAGAGTCCTTTCATCTGCCAAAAACACATTAATACAAAGAGATACAGGGCGAGAGAGATGTGTCTCTCATCATCATCATCATTAACACTAAAACAAAACTTGATTTGATTTACAAAAAAACAACATTAAAACACAGCCAACCCAGCAACAGTTATAGTTTCTTAAATAGCCTCTGAGCACAGAGAAATCGAGATGACAAAAGAGACCATGCAGCCCGACCAGCCACTCTGCCTTCTCATTAACACTTCACACACTCTCTCACACACACACACACACAGTTTGGATCCAAATCAATATTATCAACAGACATATGCCAGGAGGAGGAGCTGTCATCTTACAAAGGACTATTTCTGTTTCCTTTTTTTTTTTTTTTTCAACAAAGAATTGTTTGACATTTCATTATTTCAAGGACTAAAATACATTGAATTTCTACCCTGCAGATCTGAGCTTTCCTGACAGAGAACAATGAAAGTTCTTTAATCGTACACAATTATTTAGTCAACGCCTGGTTAAGAAGGCAACAAACAGCCTCAGGTGCTTTTTCCGCCTTTTTCTCGTATTTGTTTTTAGCTGAATAAAGCTGTCACTCTGTTCAGAACCACGATCTCTACAGACAGCAATCGGGACTTGGGTCCACACTGCATCAAATCAAAGGCTTATATTCATTTAATTAAAGAACCAGCAGGGAAATTTTGTGTAGTATTTGGTTTTAAACCCTTCGTTTGTCTGCCGAGTTCTCTTCACTTTGGCCGTAGAAAGATACAGCAACTACAAGGTCAAAAATAATAATAATAATTTGGCTTTTTAAATCAACAGCTCAAACAATTATGTTACAGCAATTTACACTTGCTCTTCAGAGCCTTTTGGAACTGACAGTAAACACCATCATTATACAAAATGAGGAATCAGATATGATCTTTTTAGAGAGAATGTCCCATTCTGAGGGAGTCTGGAGTATATACACCTACAGTATCATTAATGGTTCACAGCACAGGACCTGCCCTACCTCTCCTCACTGGTATACACATTTCCAATTCAAATCATAGCATGTCACATATGCAGTAGAAAAAATACAGCCAATAACAGATGTCAGACCAGCCAAGGGACATGCAGGAGCTGGAAGGAAGTATTTCTTCTTCCTGGTCTTAACACTGCCCCCGTAGTAATAATACACAGAAATGCCTCATTATTCTACTGCTTGGGCTTTAGTTTGAAGCGCTGAACTCAAGTTTGGTTCAAGTGTAGGTGGTCCTCTGTGGGTTGAGGTTGGACTAGACTGGCCTGGGTTCATGTGGAGACGAGGCTGGAGGTTTCATGGTGTGGCAGTAGAAGGGCTTGGTTGACGTTTGGTGTCACTTTGTCCTGAGATTAGCTCAGATAGAGATGTTTGTCTCTCTGAAGACCTCTTCAGGAGGAGAGGAGAAAGAAAAAGTTAGGATAAAGAGGGAGCAGTTACAGCTGTAGCAGCTTACAGAGTACTGTAGACTGTCTCAGAATATTATTTCACTAATTCTAATAACACATTCTGAGCCAGAAAGGGCAATCTGGGTGAAAATTTGTTTTTATGCAACAGCCATTTTACCCCGTAAGACTTTCTTGCTTTGTTAAGGGAAAAAGACATCAGATAAAATGCTGATGAGCCAATTTAAACAAGACCCTAGTAACTTTTATGTTTGTTTGTTTATCATTAGTAATATCGTGGCATCAGAGGCTGTTCTACATGGACAAAATGTTACTTAAGAGCAGGCTGAAAAGTGTTTTTCTACCCTCTCTGGTTGACAGTTTCACCCAGCGTCACTGATGGATGTGGTTGAACCTGTAACCACACCGAACAGTGATGTCACAGTCTTCCTGCCGTACACCTGTACAAGAAAGAGTTGAACCCCAACACCTACCCGTTGCCATGATAATCAGTGCTCCAGTCCAGAGAGGGGTGGTGGTTCGGTGTGTGTCGACCCAGCTGGTGGTAGTCCACTGATGATGAGATCACTGCTCCACCATTAAGCATGCCTCCTCCCATTGGCTGGTAGTCAGACTGGAGTGGGGAGTGATAGCCCTGGAATTGAAATGTAAAAGTTAGTGTCTTATTTAAAGTCTTGTTAAAAAATTATTTATTTTAATTTATTGTGTATGCAGCTGATCACACGCTGAAAAGGAAAACATTCAACAAAGACGATGACTGGTCAGTAATACAGATGTGTACTCTGCTAACATGAGCTGTGGAAATCCAAACTGATAATATTGTAGTTGCTGTGACACAGTTTATTGAGATCAAAACAGATGAGTAATGCTACTGCAGTAGAAAGATGCGTTTATCCTTTCAATATCTGTGACGCTCGAAGCAAAGTTTGTCATTTTTCCTTTCAGTGTTTTTTTTTTTCCAAAGTTGAGGTTGGAATATTTTGGAGCAGCTGATTTGCAGGTAAAGGAAACCTAGACGTCTGTTAAACTCTTTGGTTTAGACCTGTGGCTTTCAAACCACTGAAAAAAGCAAATGTCAGTTATTGTAGATTTTTCCCGTCAGCAGCACAGCTCATTGGGGGCAGTTAAGGTATTTTTAAACACTTCACATCACACTCCATCTCATAGTCATAACTCAGTCAAGTCCGAACACAGACATGATAGACATGTTTCCCGAGTATACCGCTATACCTCTGATGTCCATCGCAAATAAACGTCCATAAATCCATGAAGAAATCATAGGAAGATAACATTTATTCATTTAGCTTGTTGCAAAAGGGACTTACAATTGCTATACGTGTCAGAGGTCGCAAACCTCTGGAGCAACTAGGGTTAAGTGTCTTGCTCAGGGACACATTGGTGGATGTGTCACAGTGGGGAACTGAACTCCTCTCACACCAAAGTCATGTGTCTTATCCACCACCCCAAGATGCTCCCAATAACTCCAGAACTTGCCTGAGAAATACGTTTTCTTCACTATCAACAGAATCCAGTGATAGTTGTTTGTACATCCACGGGTACACCGCAAACTGGAGCTGCTAATAGCTAAATATGTGTACTTTTAATTTGCCAAACGTAAGCAGTGTTAGACTTTAGGGCAGCTGTGGGTCGGGAGGTATCCGAAGATCGGTGGCTCCCGATGGCCGTGTCGTCGGTGTGTGAATGATTAGTTTCGCAGTAATGGTGGCTTGTTTACATCCTCCTTAAACCTGAATGAGTCCATAGAAAGCTCATGTTTTAACACACCAACCTTTAGCACTGCCTTGGTAAATGGTTTCTGATTAGCAGGGACGTGAATGAATGCAAGTGAAAAGGAAAAGGAGACAGAGATCCGTCACAGGTTCATCAGCAGTAATTACAGAGTTTTGAGTGTCTTGCGGATTTTATCATCTGCCGGGGGGAGGGGGGGGGGCTGACGAAGGTAAGAGGAGAGGAGGAAAAGGACGATGAGGAGAAGAAAAGGAGGTGAGCATACCTCTAACCGCAAGATACTTAAGGGAGGAGAGAGAGATGGAAAACTAAGCGATTGCAGTGAGAAAGTGCAGGAAAGTGTGTGTGTGAGAGAGGCTGAAAGGGAAGTTAATCTGAGTGTTGAGAGTGAAAGAGGAGGACAGCAGGTGGTTGGGTTCTCCCCCCTCTCCTCCTCCTCTACCTCACCTATTCATCCATTGTTGAGCAAATTCTTCTCCTTCACTCCTTCACAAAGACCCCATCTGCCTCTTTTGTCTCTCTCTCCTTCTCCCTTCCCCCATCACTTCTCACTCTTCACTCAAAGAATAAAAAAAGTTTTGAGCTCTGTCACTGTGTCCTCTCTTATTTTTTTTTTCCTCCCTTCAGTTTTCCTTTTTATTTTGTTTGCGCTTTCTCAAAATATGCAAAATGGAGGAGTGAGAAAGGGGGATTATGTGAGTGTGGGATTTAACAGGGCACTATTAAAAAGGGGGATAAAAATGGGAAGTGAGACTCAGTGGCAAAGTGCCCCCCATGTTTAACTAGTTGGAGGAGACACTGCACTATCACATGTCTCCAATTCACCTATTCACCAATTCACACAGCCACTCGTCTTCCTCTTCCTCCTGTCTGGACAGACTATCAGCTGACCAACTGACAGTGAGAAACAAAGACGCAGCGGGGATAACTGACTGACTGACACTATTATATAAGTAGAAAGGGACAGACAGACGTAGAGAACACAAATTTTAATTTCTATGATTAATAGTTAAAATGGGGAGGGGGTCCGGGGCCCGAGAGGGTCCGGTAAAGTAAATTACATGTGTCCGTTTACTTTTAATGGACACATGTAATGTTTTATACTTTCTGTGAATATAATTCAATTAATCTTATTTCCATCCTATACAGACGCCTTATTTTGAAAACCGGACGCTGTCACATGTGTTTCCTCCTCGCGCTAAATTCATTAAGTCCGACCCAGTTTGATAAATAATGTTGTATGTGGTTCTGGTAACATTAAAACTTCACAGCCCCTCTTCAGGTAGGACTCTCAAACTGCAACACTTGTTGAGACAAACTGACAGAATAAAGTCTCTAACCTGCCTGTCAACTCGCTCTGGTCCGTTTCAGTGGATTTACCATAAAAGCTTGAATACGTGCCACACTGTAGGTGTGGCTAGATTAATCACCTTCTCAGAGACGAGTGACAGAAACACTCAAAGTGGGTCAGACCGTTTGTTGACTTTTCTCAGAAGTCAGCCACAGATGGAGTCAAAAAGACATTTTTGCGTCTTTCTCAGACACTTTAAAATCCTTCCACACTGCCGACATGTCACCGTAATTGTTCCATACAATTTCTTTGGTCTTTTGATTTGTTAGGCCGAAAGTGCTCTCTTTGCTATTTTCGTCCGATTAATTTCGGTGGCCGAACATTCGGTGCATCCCTAATGATTAAAATGGATTTTCCATAAAAGGATACCAAAGATTGGCTATTACCAACAATCTACTGATTGTCTCCTTGTTAAAAAAAGTATATTAATATATTCTAACCTTCTGTTATTTCCCACACATATTGATTGTTATGTAAATGATTGTAAACAGGAACACCTACAGGTAAATGTTTGTCTTTATTGGAATCACAGCACAAATAAAACTTCATTATTGTAAAACAAAACTTTAAAAGTGCTGAAGTTTTAAGTGCTGGACAAACTGAAAATTAAAAAACTCTGTAACTACACGCAAGAACTGTGACTGGTCGGCTTGGTAGCATTGCATTTCCTCCAAGCCCCGAGGAAGTGCTCCGTGCTTTGAATCCAGTTTTACAAGGGATTAGTCCTTTAGTGGACGCTTTTCTTAGTGGATATCGTGATGGGAATTGAACCCAAGGCTCACACATCAAAAGGCATGTGTCTTATGCACTGCACCATCGCCACCCACAAACAAGCAGCTGTGAAACGGTTGATACTTTCTTTTTATATTTATAAATAAAAGAAAACCCCCTCGAAATGACTCATTTCTCTATCAGAATTTGTTCCATTCAGTCGATAACATTTTGAAAGTCTAGAATAGCCACACAAAAATTATTTTACCCCCATTCTAGTTAGCTGAGAGCTAAACCGGAAGTTAGCCGGTTCACCGGCAGAAGTCAACACAGTGGAACCTAGAAACCCCACCGTAAACTGCAGAGCGACACAGACACCAACGCACAAGTATAAATGCGAGGGTACGTGCGTTGCCAACGCCCTAGGTCTCGGTGTAGAATCCCTGCAGGAGTATAAATGCAGAACCTCTTCTATGCTTTTGATTGGCTCTCAAAATTGTCCTGCGAAATGTTTGGTGCACCAGTGCGACCAGGAAATTATTTTTTGTCTCACTCGACAGACCAAGTTGGTCCCACTCTGGAGCCCTGCACCAGTCTGTATGTTCAAACATCCATCTCTACAGGCAGACATTAAAAAACAGAGGCCAACTAATTGTGATTCATGCATTCAATTAGGATAGGCTGGATGTATTTAAGTCTATTCAGTACTGCTGTCCACAAGGAAATACGGATCTATTATGCACCCCCGTTCATTCTGGCACCCATCTCATTTCCCCTGTTTGTATGTGCGTGTGTTTTGTTTCCTCTGCTGATATATTCGTCTGTCTCCATCCACCTCTGTGCAGACTTTAAATCTGCAAGATGCTGTTGGCTTGAGTAAATGTGTGTGTGTCTAAGAAATGGTTTGATGACTCAAGGAGCAGAGCACCAATAGACCACTACTAAGGAAACAATACCTGTGTCCCAATTCCAAACTAAACTAAAATGTTCACCCTGGAGGAGTGACAACAGTATTACATACAAAAAGATGTTTTTTTTTTTTTTTTGTTAGCTGTTGATGGATACTATTGTCAAACAATGCAATGCAGAAAGGAAACGCCCGTGCCACTGCAAAAAATGAAAATAGTAAACAGTGAATGGTGGTGAGACGGCTACAGAACGATCTTGGAAAACAAAAGTAATGTATTAAAACTCTCAAACATTTTGTTGTCTCTCTGATTGACATCCAATGGCACATTGCATCTTTTTCTCTTATATATGTATAAAGCAGTATGTGGTTTGTGGATTAGATAGAGATTATTTTTGCGCTACTGATATATATCACAATATGTATCATTTATAAAACTGTCCAATTGATGCATCCCGCTGTTAAAATGTTCAAATGTATAAAACAAACCACTAATAGCTAATGTTAACTCTTTAATTACACTTTGCTTGGAATCACTCTTTTGGAGAAAAGAATAATGTAAAATCATCACAATTTATCTGTGCTGAAAGTCAGTGAATAGTAGTAGTTAATTATCGCTTAAAGAGAAACGTGTCTGTTAAAAACACAAACACATTTTCTTCAGTTATTTGCTTGTTATTGCCACTGAGTCAGTCTCAGAGTAATGTCTCCTTCAGGTTTTTTATGATCCCGTGCCCTTTTATTTTTATTACCCTGTGTTTTATACCATTACTTTGCCTGAATAAATAGGAGGGTTTTTTTATTGATTTTCTACTTGCTCTGCCTGAAAAACATTTATTTTTGCTTCTTTTTTTTCTTAAAACGCCAGGAGGAAAAACAAAAATTTGTGAATAATCCAAGTTTTATCCAAATCTCAGAAGTTATATTTAAACGATAAGGTATTCTACATGTATTGTATTTATATTGTCAACAAATCCCATAAGAAAACCGACAATGTAATGAGTTGTTTGTGTATCTCAGTCTGATATCTCTTCTTCCTCTGAGCCATTGAGCTCCACTGTTGTCCAAAAACCATTAAAACCCAGCCTCACTGTTGCACTGGGTGACATGTTCCTTTCCATTAACATGACACACACACTGTAGTTTATTCTGACGCCCACACACACCGTCCTGCTGCCCCAAATACTCACTAGAGCACCAAATGTGGATTAATCCGTCGCTGAAAATAGACCCTAACGAACGCTCTTTTTCCTCCTGTTTGAGTAACGTTTCAAGGGTAGCTTCAGTATTTTTCAATCTGGACTGTATTTTCCCATGTTTTTGTGTCTATGTGACTACACATTTTTGAAATTGGTCCATTATTAAGTGAGCACACTGCAATTTTTGTTTTTGTCAATGGAGTCTAGGGGCTTTGACAAAAGCAATACAGCGACTGTTTCCATTTAAAAAAAGGTCCATCTATGTAGGGATCCTTTCCATAATGTTGTCAGGCACTTATAATAACAATCTGAGCATGTCAGTGGCAGAAAAAGCACTTAAGCAGAAGTACTTTAACGGGGCGCAATTGCCTGCAAGGATTACGTTACAGCCCCGTTTCACTGCTGCCGACTTAAATTTAAAAATGTTTTTGTCCCATTTAGTCACATAGACACAAAAGCATGGGGAAATATGGTTCAGAATTAAAAGTACAGAACTTAGCCTTAAATAAAGTTTAATGGACAAGATAGGTAAGTACTTAGAGACATCGGTGTTTATCCTTCATGTCTACTATACTGTCAATGAACAAACAATAAGAGATACAAAGTACCAAACCACAAAATGTTAAGTTATAACATTTACACTTAGTGTGTGACTGACCTGTGTGATGGCAGGCGAGTGAGTCATTCCCAGTGAGTGTCCACTGAGCTGCTGGTGCTGATGGTGTGGACTGTGCATCCCCCCCAGGTGTGCCTGGCTGTGGAGGGGAGGGCTGACCTGGAGAGGAGGGGTGGACGCCGCCGCCATGTTGCCAAGGGACAGAGCTCCCTGGTGCGGGACGCTGGGCCGCGGCACAGTCCCTCTGGAGGACAGAGCCTGGAGCTGGGGGTGCATCTGGTTGTGAGGAGGGCGGAGGTTGTGGCCGAGGCCGGGGCTTGAGGCGTGGGAAGGGTGCTGAGGGTGAGAGTACTGCATGTACATGCCTGGGTGCTGAGGGTGAGAGTGAGGGTGAGGCTGATGGTGAGGGTGAGTGTGGGCGAGTGAGCTGGAAGGGTGCTGGCCTGGGTAGACTGAAGGTTTGGGTGTAAACATTGAGGTAGAAGAAGAAGTCGTGGAGGAAGAGTGGGGCGGCTTCATTTCAGACGGATCATTGTAACTCTGGAGAACAAGAAAAAGTAGAACAGAAAATCAGTTTGCAGGTTTGAGATTGACCCATTTACATCAGCTAAATGTCATTAACTTGTGTGTGTGTGCGTGCAGTACCTGAGAGACCAGACTGGCTCTGTAGGCAGCCAGTTGTTTCAGATACTCCTTCTTAGCCGTCTCTGTCCTCTTCTTGTACACCTGAAACGCAAACCTTTTACTTCTCTGCTAACCACCTACCAACTATCAACTTTGCTTTTGTTTTGTTTGCTTATTTACAGTTTACAGCATTAAAAAAAAAAACGAGTAACTGTTTTTATAAACGTGTAAAATCTTGTGTGAATAATCAACACTGTGCCGTGACACACTAACAACGTCTGACATGTACTCAGGTATAACCATCATGAGTTTCACAGTATTTCCCTCAGCTGACACAGTTGTCTAATAACACATAACCACGATAATGAATTCCCCAGCAGCTCCTTCAAAGATTCTCTGAATCTGAACTTTGTGAAATGCGGGCGACATCCACTTGCACCAATTTTGTGAGCTCAGTAATGATTGGTGGTCTCAGCGGTATTGTTAGAGCTCAAGTTTGCCTGCAAAACGCTTGATTCCTGTCACAAAGACAATTTAGCTACTTGCCATCTCTCTCGCTCTTCTTTTATGGTTTCACTGAAGGGGGACGGACATGTTTTTTCTTCTAACTGGGTTTTCTTTTCTTGCATCAGCTGCCAAAATTCATAAACAAGACTAAGAGTTTATGTACAGCCATTCTAGCTTCTCTGTGAGGCTGTACTAAGGTACAGGGTGCAATTTTCACCAATCCAATTCAGCTTTATTGGTATGAACAGCAATATTGCCAAAGCAACAAATAAATTAGAAAAAGAATAATTAATTTCATACAGTTCATTAAATAAAGTAAATAAAACTGTAAAGTGTGTGTTAGTGTGTGTTAAAAAATAAATATATATATATATACATATATATTAAAGATAAAATAAATAAAATAGTAAACGTGTGTGTGAGTGTGTATATTAATAGACAAAAAAATTAAAAATAATAATAATAAATAAAAAACAACTGCTAAAAAAAAATCTGTATCAAATGTGAAATAAAAAAAAAACAAATAAAGGAACAATTACTAAAATAAACAATGAAAACAATAATTTGAAAATATATTACAATTATTTCATATATTTATCAGTCCAGTCTGAGTTTCCACTGGCTGATATACGTTGCTGCAATGATTTGGATTTCTGGCATTTCTCCTAGTAAATCGGGGAGTTTCCGTGTGTCTGATATAAATTTTAATTCGGGGTATATTTGGGAAGTGTTTGCAAAGTTTTTTTCTCTTAAGGTTTTATATATTAGGGCACGAGGTGAGAAAGTGCAGCCGTCTTAGTTTAGCGTCTTAGTTTCTTAACATTTGCTACTGAACACAAAGCACATCTGAGGATATATATGAACAGTTTTAGGCATTTGTTCATAAACCATGCTAAATGCTAAATGAAATTACAAAGGATAATCAGGGATTATAGTGCTGCTAAATTAAAGAGGGAGGATCTACCTGTTTCTGTTCCTCTCCCAGGCCGTCCCACATGGAGGCCACGATCTTTGACACCTCCCCGAAGGTGGCGTTGGGGTTCTGGGCCTTGATGTTGGCTTGGGTGTCCCTGAAGAACAAGGCGTAGGCAGACACCGGCTTCACTGGCTCATTGGGGTCCTTTCGCTTCTTCTTCTTTGGTGTTTTGGGTTTCTTGGAGATGTCCACTGACGCTGGCCTCTTCTCTCCTCCACTGCCCAGCTAAGAAGAGAAGAAAGTGGCTGAGTACGACACAGGTAGGTATGAAATATATATAGTCATGGACAGAGTTTAGTTCGGTGGAAAAAGCAAAAATGCATAAAAAACTAAAATAGCAGTAAGAATTTGACATGTTTGGTAGAGCTTAAGTGCTGTGTAATAAATTGTCTATATCAATTATTTTATGACTCATTTTCCCCTTCTGTTATTGCTAACCTGGCATTTTACAGATTCGCACCTCCAGTTGTGTCTTTGATGACTCTCACATGACAGACATGTGACCTCAACCGTTCTTGTTTGATGTCAAGATATGAATCAGCCACAGAGCTCAAATATGGGGAAACTCCCGGCAGTCCCCTGCAGAACTGATGAAGCTAAACCACTCTTTTAGTCCACGCACAGCAGTTCAGCTGACCAAGCAGAAATGTGAAATTTGTCGAGCAAAAGATTCGATAAATACGAAGAATAAAGTTTCCAATGATATTAATGTATGATGAATACATTTTGTAAATAACTACTTCTTTAGACCTCAACACAAATAACTAAACTTAAACAGAGAAAGTTTAAAGGTCAGAGACGTTTGTACTAGTTATAACTGATTGATCTGTGCATATCTGTTTTGTGAAATGGATGATGGGAAAATGAATCCTGTGTGTCTTTGACTTACTACAACAACATATCCATGTCCTGTGACATTCACATTCTTCTTATATTCACTCACAGGGATAATGTGCCTCTAATATACATATGTTTAATAGCTATGTGATGCATGTTACTAACTATTAAAATAAAAATTAAAGTATTAAAGTTGCATTATTAATGATGCAGAATCAATTCTTGTTTATTTTATTGTTTGACTACTTTTACTTTTATAATCTTTTATCTACTGCCTTGTGTCCACTGTCTATTGTTTGTATTTGTTTTTAAATGCGAGGATGACTTGTCCACTGCAACACAAATGTACATACGGGTACAAATAATGTAACCTGAACCTGAACTATGGCTCAGTTTGGTATCAAAGCATAAAAATAACATCCTAGCTTCAAAGGCATTCTGTATTTCTTGACTCTTCACAACATGATTTCAAGGTCAAAGCAGTAGGAGTTCACAGCTAAAGAAATGCAACAAAGTGCGCCAGAGGCTTCACTTGTTGTTGCTAATTATGATGACAGGCACTGAGACGTGAATGGTAATATCTCTGCTCCACTTGCCCACCAAGAGCAACGTGGAGTTAAATTGTGGACTACTAGACTTTTTTGGGATTTTATTGCTGATATCAGCGACAACAGGAGCTTTAAACAAAAAAATATCTGAAGAAATCAAAAATGACAAGAGGAACAATACGGCAGTTGACTGATGGATGTTTCTGTAACCAAACAATAATAATAAAGCCCCTGAAAAAGTTTTTCTCTGTAACATTCAATATTCATTTCAAAATCACTCAAAACTTCAGCTAATCTGCTTCATCGGGACTGCGTGGATGTGGTTTGATCAGATTTGATCGACAGGAGCCTGGTAACGTGAGCAAAACGCCTCAACTGTCAACACATTTTGACTGAAATGTTGCGAAATTCAGATTTTTTTCTAACAAGCACCTCCCACTTCAAACCAGTAAGAGTAACACTGACAAATACAGAAATCTCTCATGTGAAATAACCAAAACTGTTAACTAACTTTGTCAGACAACGGTGTGTTCATGTAGGATCCCATCACTTACTGGGAGAAGCTGATGAAAATATGGTTTCTGGGCCCCAACTTTTCTTTCAAATCTTAATTAAAAACTCACAGCTCTTTTAGATGTTTGATTTATATTTTTCTTCTTCACTTTTATTTCCTTTTATTAAATTTGTGGCAACTTATTACTGCACTGTGACTGTATCTGCACTCAATCACCTTTGCCTATTTGTATTTTATTATAATCTTCAATTTAATTTAATTTTCCTTTACATCACATAGTTTATCTTGTGTTTAAGTGTTCTGTAAATATATAAGCAATTAATTTTTTCTTCCTAAAGCGAGCATTGCCTGTGTATTTGCTCATAATGTTGCTCATATACAACTCATACTTACACACCTAACCAACGAGAAAGATACAGTTGGTAAATATTATTCAGCGGTACAGTAATGGTTTCATTTCCCCAGAATATGAACAGTCAGTTTGGTGCAGAGTGCTTGTTTCAGTGTGAGACACCTAACAGTGAAGGGAGCTGATTTCCATCTAGTTGATATGCAGGGAGAATGGGTCTATTATGACACATAACATTAACATAACAACTATCCACTGTCTACACACACACACACACAGCAGAACACAAATGGTTGCTACAGCTCAAAGAGATGTGACTCAGAAACACATAACAACAGGAAATACAGTGTGTGTTTGTGTGTGTGTGTGTGTGTGTTTATTACCCTGAGTCCGTCATCATTCTCATCCTCATGTGCTGAACTGGAGGGAGATGGTGTGGCGGATTTACTTCCAGGAGGTGAAGGGGAACTATGGGTAACAGAGTTCCCACTCAGCCCCAGCTGGGATTGGTTAATGGTGGACAGCTGACTCTGCTGGCTCATGCCTGATTGGCTCCTGGGTCCGAGCGCTGCCTCGATTGGCTGCTGGCTGCTGGTAAACCGAGAATCAGAGTTCACCATCTGCTGCATCTGTGCAAAGACAAGTGACAATGACTGATGAAGGCAAATATCATTTACATTTACTCAGTACTTTTGAGGAACAACATACAAGCATCAGTAAAGAATCAATCCAGTAAGAGATCTACAAGTGACAATAGACACTAGTAAGAGCATATACAGCATCAGTGGGGAAACAGGTACTTCTCAAATTGATCTGAAAGATCCACATTCCCATTAAAACAACCACATCCAAACACTTAAGAGCTGAAATCAACTTAAGCGTCTTTATTCAACACTCTTTTTCCACGCTCACCATCGCAGTCGTTAATGGGAACAACACATTTTTAATTAGCATTTGAAGCAAGACGTTTTACATCCAATCAAATTAAGGATGGAAATCAGACAATGCAAAAAAAGTTTATTAAGTTTTGGTCCTGACTGGTCTTTAGATAAAATCCAGAGTCCTCAATGTCCGAGACCGAGACAAGACCATAAAAAAGTGGTCTTAAGACCGGTCTCGGAAACTACAACACTACTTGATGGGTATGTCTTTTGCAACACCTACAGAATATTCCAGCCTGCAAATAGGTTTTATTTACATCAGTATAACAATGTCCTCATTAAAAATTATGCCAATTGTGCCAAAAGTCAACTTTCCATTATTCGACCTGAAGGTTTCATAACATTCAGGAAAAAAAGCTGTTTTGTGTGATAACATTTTTGGCCATATCGCACATCCCTAACATCTGTTGTTATTGGCATGGCGTCCGCTTGTTTGACAGCCATAACCAAGCACTGTAAAGTCCTGCACCTGTAAGATCATAATTTTCAGCAATGTAAATCTTATTTAAAGCCACTGTGCGTACAATATTCACCTCAATATCTTTGTCAAACTGGCTTCGATAGAATTATACAGCGGCTGTAAACCAGTGAGAACATCACGGTGTAACGTTGCTTCCAACTTGCTGCTCTCTATGAGCATTGTTTTAATGATGCTTAAAGTTTAAAGCTGTTTTTGACAAAAAGGAGAATGTTTCGCAGTTTGTTGTGTCCTTCTTTTTCACGGGGCCCCTCTGTCCCCCTCTGTGTAGCATAGTTCAGCATTGCCAAAATGTGAGCAGTCTCACAGTGACTCAGTCATCATTATTGTTCTGGCTATTTCTCAGGAAAACAAAAGTTAGCATTGCCAACACCCTCAGCATGGGAACTTTGACACGTATCGTCACAAATATGAAGACAGGACTCGGGTGATGATGTGTATTTAGAGTTTCCTCTTAGTAATCATCGAATAATGGCGGATGTGGTCTGGTGCGCTCTGTCCCCTTTGGGAACGCATTACCTGAACTCAATTACCGGCAGCAGCCTCTGAATACAGCTGTGGTATTTAGATGGAACGCAGAGTGACATTTCTCTCACATGGGAAGAGGTTTTCAGATTGACGTATGTGTTGGTGGAAATGCTGAAAATAATAGCTGTGGTTTTAGGCATTGGTTAGGCTGGGAGTTCAATAAATGTCATATTATCTAACAGTTAAACTGACTTATTTGACAGCTCACCTGACGTACATAAAATTGTTTCAACAGGAATAGTTTGAAGACCTGAGGACCAAGCTGAGAATTATTAAGTAAAAAACAATACATGGATTTAAATAAAATGGAAAAATATTTTGTTTTTGGAAATGTATTATTTTATTTTATTTAGTTATATTATTACTATGGCTGTATGTATTACAGATTATATAATACATAATGATATATAATATTTATAGTATATTTACATATAATAATATACAGCCATAACATTATGACCACTGACAGGCAAAGCGAAGTTGTGGTTAGAAGCAGGAAAAATGGGAAACGAACGGATTTAAATGACTTTGACAAGAGCTGAATTTTGATGACTAGACGAATGGGTCAGAACATCTCGGTCTGCAGTGGTCAATGAAGGAAAAGCTGTGAACCGACGACAGAGCTCACAGGGCTATTTTGGCAGCAAAAGGGAGACCAGCAGGTGGTCATAATGTTATGGCTGATAGGTGTATAACAATAAACTTGGGACTTAAGGCTGCTCCCGGCTAATGTGTGGTCTGGAAGAAATGGCACTCAGGTCGGCCATGCAACGGGAAATCAGAGACTGTTGTGCCCACATCATTACAGAGATCTCCTCCATCATCTTGGATCAAGCACTCAACAGGTGGACCGTGTTCTGAGACCGACAGAGCCTCCGGACACTGTGTTTATATACAAGTTGACAATGTTTCCTAGATGTCAGAGTTATCATGTGTGGATGAAAACCATATTATCATCACTGTCTTGTTGCTGCTGTTTACATTCTTCCAGACGCAAATTTAAGAAATGCACTGCAGAATTATTTCCTGGTTGTACATGTATATAAATAACTGTATATTGTTTTATATGTTACTGTATAGCTTGAAGGGACTACAAACCTGTGTTGTATAATGATAAACAAACTTCTTAGATACTTGATTAAAACTGCCTGGATCAGGGTGACAGAGTGATCCTCTGAATAAAAAAAAATGTTTACTGAACAAAATTTAAATGCACCAAAGGAAAATGCAGAGCAAGATATTTGAAGAATGGAAAGGAGGTATATTGTTTTCAGTGGTTTGAGTGGTAACATCACCAGAAGCATCTGCTGCCAGGAACAGGAGGGCACAAGGTCACACATCTAGGAACCAAAAGCATTTCCAATGAAAGTAGGCCGAGTAATGACGAAATGAGAAGGGGAAAAGCTTTGGTTATACTCACGCTCACATAGGCAAGCAATTCTCAATCTATTCTTGCTTTTAGCATGGAAAATCAGCATTAGCATTTTTTTTAATTTAAACTCATTCAATCAAAATGATAGCTTGGCTGAACAGCCTTCAGACATTCAGATGAAACACTCTGATGAAACTATTATCTTTGCTTGTGATCAATATGAACGTTGAATGTATGTCTCCATTCTTAATCTCCTCGTGCACTTCAGAGGTGTCGTTTTTTGTTGTGAAAATAATCTCACCACAAGCATTTGATCTTCTCACATGATTGCTGGACGGCGTTCGTTCAGTTTTGCACAGGATTATAGATGTTGACATTTTTAATTTTAGTTTTCATATCTTTTCATTAAAATGTGGTTACTATCCCTCAGACTAAAGAAACAAAATTCAATATAGCTTCATTGGTATGAATGTAAAACAACAATATTGCCAAAGCTACAAATAAATTACAAAAGAACAATTCATTTTATACAGTACATTAAATAAAGTCAATAAAAAAGTAGAAGTGTGTGTTAAAAAGCACTATTTAAAAACAAAATATTAAAATTAAAGTAAATAAAAAAGTAAAAGTGTGTGTTTGTGTGTAGAAAAAAATTAAATAAATAAAAACATGTCTAAAAATATGTTTCCTTAATGTATAGTTTCTAAAACAGTATAACCACATTCGATGTATTTAAAACTGCAGTTTCACTGCAAAACCCAAACTGATATTCAAAAGTCTTAATATTAGAAATAGGGCTGTAACTAACGATTATTTTTTATCATCAATTAATCTGCTGGTTATTTTCTCGATTTATTGTTTGGTCTATAAAATTAAAGGAAAAAAACACTGAAAAATGCTCATCACAATATTCTACAGCACAAAGTGACATCGTCTAATGTCTTGTTTCTCAAATTCTCACATTTAAGAATCAAATATTTGGCATTTTTGCTCAAGTAATTATGAAGTGATTAATCGATTTTAAAGTAGTTGCTGACTAATCGCTAATAGCTCTAATTAGGACAGCGACTTCAAGCAGAGCTGTTTTTACGTTGACTAATCTGACAGAAATCTGATATTAAAATGAGAAGTAACACTATGCATCCAAAACTGTAACGTAATGGTGAGCAATGTGGATAAAATCTTGCATCACATTGTATGACATGTTACCTCACGATGTTGATACTAAGGCTTCAATTAATAGCCGAGTCCTGAATAGCCGCCTACCTCGTTTACTGGCCTGGAGTGGGAACACATTTTGACAAAAATACGCAGGTCTCGGTTGGACGCCTGGTCTGGATGTATAAAACCTCTTAAACCCTGCGGGGTCACCCGCTTTAGCTGCTTCTAAGCTGTTTAGATTGTTAATCCAACCATTAAATGCATTATCAATATGTCCGTATGGACATGCTGCACATCGTTAGATCGGTTAGATTCTCCACAATTCATTCGTTCAGTTCATTTAACAGAAACAACGAGCCCCAAAGTCTAATTCTTATAGATTTACCGGTGAAGTCTAACCAGCATGGTAGAAGAGCTAAAAAGAAAATAAAAGTGCCGACTCCCGTTACTTTTGAAGCGCTTCTTAAGTCCGAATGTGTCCCTTCCTTGATTATTTATATTCCTTTAGTCTGTAAAGGTCCACCGATCAAAAGAATCAAAACAGCTTTTCATAAAAATGAATCCAAGTCGTGAATCCTGTCATGTGAAGTCCATCGCTCTCTGTCTGCTAACTTCTGCCACACTTTTCTCATCCTGCACCCAGTTGTTGGGTATGTTGGTTTTCATTACTTTGCTGCTTACAAAATAAAAGTGCATAAGCCGTTAGTGTATTTAATATAGTCTTTTTTATATATTCACACTGTTTGAAATAAATAAACTGTTTCATTATTGCCTATTTCATTTTTGTGCAAAAGGAATTAAAGGACGCCTGTCTCAAATACAGGCAGGGTCAATTCAGTGATTTTAGCAAATAAAAGCCCGAGCTATTAATCAAAGTTTTACGGTAGTACCTTTATGGACATATCATTGAATAACGTAAATGCCAACGTGTTTTGGCTAATGCATTAAATTGACCCGTAATATCCAGGTTCTTCATCACATTGACAGAAAAGTCCTGTAAATCCAGTATTTCCATAAAGGAGCTCATTGATTTGCAATCTTGGCAACAACAGCATAATAAACCAGAGATATTAAGGGATTGTAAACTTGATATAAAAGGTATAGCAGGAGCTCTGACAGTATTCCCACCTTCTGTAATGTCTTTGTCCT